TAGCAGTCAAATGCCTTAGGCACTATGCCACCAGAGCTCCCAAGAAGAAGTAAAAGTATCTCTATTTGCAGATGAAATGTCTTGATGGTAGAAAACCCTAGAGACTCACCAAGGAAACTACTGGAACAATAGAAGGATTCAGCAAAGTGGCAAAGTATAAGATCAACATACAAATATCAGTCAAATTCCTCTACACTAAGAAAGAAAACTCGGAAAAGGAAATCAGAAACCATACCATTCACAATAGCCACCCAAAAGATGAAGTACTTAGGAATAAATCGAACCAGAGAGACAAAGAAAACTACTGAACACTACTATAAGCAACAGAAAGAGGCCTACATAGAGGGCCACACCATGCTCCTGGATAGTAGGCTTAACATTGTGGAACTATCAATACTACCCAAAGCAATTTACACATGTAAAGCAATCCTGACTCAAACTCCATCAACTTTCTTCAAGAGATGGAGAAACCAATCACCAACTTTACACAGAAAGGAAAAGACTCCAGAGAAGCAAAGCACTGTGAAAGAAGAACAAAACAGGAGGCCTCACATTCCCTGATCTCAAAACCTACTATACAGTCAGGAAAGTCAACGTAACCTGGTGTTAGTACAAGGACAGACAGAGACAATGGGACAGCATTGAGAACCCAGAAGTAAATCCATCCACCTATGGACAGCTAATCTTTGACAAAGGCCAAAACCCATCAAATGGGGAAAAGACAGTCCCCCTAACATAGAAAAAAAAACAAACTGCATCGAGTTGGACCCAACTCATAGCGACCCCTCCTTGGGTTTCCGAGGCAGTATCACTACGGAAGTAGGTTGCCCAACCTTCCTTCCAAGGAGCAGCCGGTGGGTTTGAACCGCCAGCCTTCTGGTTAGCAGTCTGGCCAAACTAGATATGTATTTGCATAAAAATAAAACAGGATCCTTACCTCTCACCAAACACAAAAACTAACTCAAAATGTATTAAAAACCTAAATTCAATGTAAAACCTAAAAGTATAAAGATCATCAAAGAAAAAAGAGGGGCACACTTAGAGGCCCAAACACATGACATAAATGTACTGATTTATCAAACAGAACTAAAAACACACAAATAGCAGAAGATGAACTAGATGACTGGGATCTCCTAAAAATTAAACATTTATGTACTCTGAAAGATATCACATAGGAGGTCCTGGATAGAATGGGAGAAAAATGTGGACCAAAACTCAAAATCATCAAAAAGACCAGGCTTACTAGAGTGACATAGAGAGCAGTGGCGCCCCTGAGAATATGGCCCTTAGACATCCTTCAGGACTAGAACTGGGCTCCCCTCTGTGGCTCACTTTCATCCACATGACAGACAGGCCTAGAAGGTGACTATAACACCAGGGGGGTATGCACTCCTTAGAACAACCAGCCATCCTAGACCATAACGGTAGCATTTGCCTGAATACACAGCTCAGAAGGCAGGAAGGGATAGGAAAGAAGGACTGGAAACACAGCAAGGAAGTGGAAGAGAGCTGTTAGTTACATTGTGGGGATCGCTATCAATGTCATGAAACAAAATGTCTGTGAAATGTTGAATGGAAAACCAATTGGCTCTATACACTTTCACCTAAATCACAATAAAAAGTTAAAAAAAAAAAAACACCAGAGACATTGTAACAATTATTTACAACATACTATTTGAAGTCTATGAATAAAAGCAGATGCCTTGGGCATATTGGTTGCACTCTGGGTCCTGCTACTCAGTCCCTTTTCTACTTCCCAAATGTTCCGTAACGAGCATACGTTGCTTTTATAATGGGAAACCTAACACCAAATATATATTTAAGAGAAAACACGTAGCTTCCACCTCATCTCCTTCTGTAAGGCTACACTGAGGATCCGCTGAACATAGATGCCTCCTGGGCCCTCCCCAAGCTGGAGCCTACCTGGTTCTGGCCCATGCCGTGACAGTGGTACAGAATGATGTCATGGCCCACAATTTGGTTCTCGCTGGGAGGGTTATAGTCAAAGCAGTGTTCCTTCAGTCCTTTGTTCTGTAGCTATATTAATAAAAGAAGAAAAAAGGTGAGTAACGTATTTTATTTACCCAATATATCTCAGGCATTATCATTTCAATATATAATTCCTATCATTAAGGAGTCCTGGTGGCGCAACAGTTAAGTGCTCAACTGCTAACCAAAATCCTGGCGGATGGAACCCGTCTAGTGGTGATCTGCTTCCATAAACAATACAGCCCAGCAGCCCCTACGGGGCAGTTCTACTCCGTCGCAGGGGTCGCCACAAGTCAGAATCTACTTGGTGACACCCCACAACAACTAGAAAATCTTAAATTACCTAGGTAGTCTGCAGAGGCCTGGTGGTGGTACAGTGGTTAAAGCACTCGGCTGCTAAACAAACGGTTGTGGTTTGAAACCACCAGCCACTCTGTGGGAGAAAGATGTGGCAATCTGCTTCTACAAAGATCTCAGCCTTGGAAACCCTATATGGCAGTTCTCTGTTCTACACACTCACTGTGAGTTAGAATCGACTCAAGAGTGTGGGCTTGGCTTTGGTCTTTATGGGGTCTACGTGTAATTTCTGTTGGACACCAAGCTGTAGAGGCAATGACAACCCATAGCAAGAAGTGCCCCAAACACCCAATTGTGGACTCTGAGTATCATTTCCCATAAAAAGGAGCAGGGCTTCTTGGAGGAGGAGCAGGGGATGTATAAGATGAGCATGGCACAAGTTGACCAGAAATTAAGGAAATTTTAAAGCCATTAAAGTGTGGTCAAAGATCACAGAAGCCAAAATGAAGAGACTCCCACAGGTCAAAATGGTACAATCGGAACATCAAAACAAATAAATAAAACAAAGCAAAAAAAACAGACTGAAATGATTAAAACACACTGACCACACAAAAAACCATGAATTTACAATGATACTCCAAAAAGGAAAAGCCAAAATAAAAAAAACAAGTGAGCCAACAAACCAACCCACTGGACACAACTCAAGGAAACTAAACTACCAACTTTTATTCTGAAAATAGGCAAATTAAGAGAAAGATTTAAGAATGTGTCGTGTCTTTCCCACATAAACTCTAAATTGCACGGCTAACAAATGGCCCTAGTTAATCAGTGAATGTTCTTCCTTACAAAAGAATCCCAGCCAAGAAATGTGGAAGACATGACAGAATTAGAAAAACCAGCATTTTGCAATTTCCTATGAAGTAATAGATCTGGGCAGTGATTATCAATGTCTACTGGCAACATGACATGAAAGAGTGATGAAAGTTTTTTTCACGGATGCTGAGCATTCTGGAACCCACCAACCCATCTAACCATCACTGAAAGCAGGATGACCAGACGCTACCTGCCACCCGACATGACACAGTATGAATACAAGAACCACCCATGAAGTGTTCTTGCCAAAAAGTTGACCCCAACTCTACAAGCGTTTGGACCTAAGTTATATTTTACAGAAACATGGGGAAAGAGAGACACAAGTTAAAAGAAATCACACATGCACACACACACAATATATATATACACATACACACAATATACACACACACACACACAAATGTTTGTCACTCTACAGGACAACTGAAGCTTTTACTTCAACAAGTCAGTAGCTTGGCAAAGGAAGAAAAGGAGGGTAACTGCCTTAGATTAAGACACACCGACACAAGTGTCATAGCAATCTAACGTAACACATGCACTCTGTTTAGATTCCTGTTCAAATGGCCAGCTACCAAAAGGTACTGTGGAGAAATTGAGGGACTCTAAATAAGGATTCATGATGCTAAGAAATGACTGTCATTGTATCAGGTGTGACAACTCTGTGATTTTGGAAGAAAATGGCCACGTTATACAGATACACACTACAGTCCACAGGAATGAAATGACATGAAGCCTGAGATTTGCTCAAAAAAATAAAAAAAATGGGAGGGAGGAATGGAAGAGAGAGAAGGTGAGAGTGGCAAAATCTTGGTAATCCCAAAATCAGGGACTTGCTGTATCACACTGTCTGCCCTGGTATGTGTACAAATATTCTCAGAATGAAAGCAGAATTCAGTGCGTTACTGTCCTGTTCCATGTGAGTCAGAGTCATCCAAAATGGAACGCCAGCACCTCTGATCAAGTCACAGCAGAGGAAATCCAGACATTTCAGTTGTTCTCAGGCAGGAACATTGCTTTCATGGTTTATGAAATACTGGAAGGGACTCCCCTATCCCCACTCTGCCTTTATAGGCGCCTAGGTTGGGAAACACTGACTGGTCCAGCCGTTTAGACTTGAAGTCATATGACGAGGTACAAGTAGAAAACAGAAAATGGAAACACCAAGTAAGCCTTGGTTTCCTCGTCCATCAAGCAGGGGGCTTGTAACTGCCAATTCTGGATGTAAGGCCAGACACTCACGGAAGAAGGATGGACAGTGGGTGAAAGATGGGAGGGCCCAAGGGTAAGGGGAGGGTGGCAGCCCCAGCAAAGGGGCCTTTCTTGTCCAGGATTTGTCACTCAGGCCTGGAGGTCAGGGAACTCCCTGTACCTACAGCCCACCTCACTCACCATCCCAAAGAAGCCAGGTCTGTCTTCAGGCACATGCAGTTCTGGATATACGGTCTCCAAGAACCACTTGAAGTCCTTACACTCTAGCTTTGCACGGAGCTGTCTCCTCTCTGTCACGTCCCCAAAGGGCTCCTGAGAAAATAGCACAATGGTGAGTTCTGGCAGGTCGAGGCCCTTCCCATCAAAGCTCTGTCCTCACTGATGCTTGGCCTTGCGTCACTCAACAAGCGTTTATGGAGCTCACTGGTGTGCTGGGTTCTGTGCAGGGCAGAGGTCAAAAACTGCCTTACACCTAGTTCCAGCCCCCAGCAGGGGAGACAGTGCCACAAACAACTACAACCCCTGGCACTCTAGCTGCCGGGAGGTGTGAGCAGGCGCGCAAGAGAAGAGGACAATGGATCTGCTGACAGTTGGGGAGCCAGGCCCCGGGGCACCAAGCCCTGGGGCACCGTGGGCACCCTGGACCTGTGTGTGATCACTGGGCATGTGATCCCAGGAGTCACCATGACATCCGTCAGCAAAATGTCAGTCATACACACGTGCCATGATATTACTGTTAATATCTGAACACTCACAATCAAACCCAGGCAAGTATTCTGGATGTTACTGTGAGGGAAGACCTTCTCAGCTCCTCAACATACTGAAGCACAAACACACACTTATCATTGCAAGAGACAATGCGGCAATAACAAGGATTTGGGATGTGCAGTTTTACAGACAAAACCAGTGATTAAGGACCTTCAAGTAATTAAGTGAGCATCTATTTAGTATGGCAATGTGCAGCCATAAGGGTAATATTAACTGTCCCTGCGCTATGTTAAACTATTAAATTTGAGAAGTTCAGTATTTCATAAAATAACAATAAGAAATCATTTTAATAAAATTTCCAATTTCTGCTTATTTCCTAGAGGTTCTTTCTCTGACAAAGGTCACTGGACCCTCAGCTTTGGGACTTAACTGTTCTAACTCTTGGTCATTGATCATTCAAGCTCAATTCTTTAGGAATCAGGATCTCAGTAGCAGGAACTGAGGGTTCCAGACAAGGTAAGAGGAAACAGCAGGTATTTCTACCCTGCAGATGTGGGTAACATGGAAGACAATGAGGGAAATGACCCCGGGGTCCCAGAGAGAAGCGGGGACAAGGGGGAGGTCATATCGTATCTGTGAGACTGTGCCAGGCAGCAGCAACAGGCACGCTGCAGTGAACAGGCTGAGGCCAAGTTCTACTCCATGTCAGTCACGAGGCCTGGGGCAAGTTCCTTATACCTGCCTCACTCTCAGTCTTGTTTCCTCATTTACAAAACAAGAACTTTGTAGTTACCCCACAGGGCTACCATAAGGATTCAAAAAACGATTTTCATCAAGTGGCCATGAGAGACATCTTGGAACAGACCTTCCAGTCTTGCCAAGAGGCCTTCTCAGTTATGCAGATGCAGGGTAAGTGGGCGTCCCTATCCTGGGGACAGGGTGCCACAGTGCTCCCCGGCAGACAGAGCTGGTCCGGGCAGGGGCAGTGGGCTGCCTTGCACAGGAACCCCAAGAGCTTCCGAGAAGTGGAGCAGGTCACTCCACAGTGCCCCCAGAGCAGGGGCAGAATGAGACTCAAGGGTGGAGAAGAGCAACAAGCCCCTGAAGAGAAGTCACCTGAGGAGAGACCGAGTCTGGCCTGACAACCTGCCTCAGTGTGTGTGTGGGGGGCTGGTCTCAGTATGTGGCCAGGGTCCATGGAGAGCAAACTCACAAAGCTGAAACCTCAGCACCCCACGGGAACACCTGGGCCACCCCTCTGACAGACGGGCTCAGCAAGGCTCCCCAGAGCGGGAGGCAGGCCAGCCCCACTGGGCTGTGAGGACCTGTCTTCCGTAGCTACACCATGTGGTGCGAGGATGGCAGAAGTGGACAGGGCCACTCTCCAGTCCTCTGTCTGTCTGGGAATGAGGCAGCCCTGAGTCCCCATCTTGGAAAAGTAGGTCTCAGGGGCTGTTGGACAATTCAAACGGGTGAGGAAGAGGTCTTATGAGAGAAACAACAGACTTCCTGCTAATAAGGCAGGTATGCTCCCTGAGCAGGAAGTTCGTAAATAAAGAACCGTGCCTAACCTGGACCCTGAGTATGTGGACCCAGGCCTACTGGTTACAAAGAGGTAAGACGGACAACATGCCTGACATAGGACCTAGGCATCCAACGGCTGGCTGTGTTGGTTTTTTATTATTATTAACTGCTATTATAAATGGAGGAATAAACTCTTCCCATGTTTTATCACGAATGCCCATTTATTTTCTATTTCTGGAACCAAATCTACTATACTGGGGAGGCCAGAATTCAGTTTTTGTTCAGAAGAGGCTAGGTGGTGTGTGGAACTTGACCATGGTTGGGTGGCTGGGGGACTTACCAAGCGGGCTTGGGGGTTGCGATGGTAGTACAGGTCTTTGTACTCATCCATCCACACTTCGGCTGCACGGACGCTGTTGGCCAGAGCCTTGTTGCGGGAGTAGGGGGCTTTCTTGGGGAAAACGTGGCCAACATGAGAACAAGGGTGTGTCTCCAGGGTCCCACCACACTGCCAGATCTGCACATGGAGCAGAGGAGCGGCCGGGCTGAGCAACAGGGAGGAGGCCAGACACGTGGCAGTCAGTCATGATGACCACTGCCAAGACAAGACGCCCACACTCTGTGGGCAGGAAGCCGCTTACCCGGCATGCTCACAACACAGCATGCAGTCAAAAACCGAGAGAGAGGCCCAAAGACACAGACAGCATCGGAACCACGTCCCAAGCCCGTGCACTATCAAGCTCATGCATTTCGCTCAGAGCGGGGCCCACAGGAAGCTTGCTGGGAACCCGCTTCCTTGCTCTGTGAACATGGGCTTAATTACCTGATCTGCTAGCCACAGAAGATAGGAAAGCACCAAGTAAGAGAGGTTTGGAAGGGGAAAGGAGGAGCTTCTAGAAGCAGACAGAGCGGCCTGACACCTAGGGAAAAGGCAGAAAGACTACTGAGAGTGCACCCAAAACTCAATGGGCACAGGCATTCGGGGCCACCTCACACTGTGGCAAAAGGCCGTGACCCCTCAGTGACCCAAAGACAGCACAAGTAAGCACAGCACCTGGAACTTATCATGGAGCACTTAAGTCCTCAATGGAAAGCCAAATCCTTGTTTTGTTTTGTTTTTTTAATGAGGGCAGGAAACCATATAAAATATTAATAAAAAATTTAATTTTCTATTGAAAAGCATGAACATTTGCATATGGTTTTGATACTTAAAATCTGACAGTCCACTAACTGGAAACCCACTGAAATGCTAGAGGTTTCTCAAAGGGGGACAGGTGGACCGGACCCCATACACCAGAATCAGCAAGTGGGCTTGCTACAAAAGGCAGATTCCTGGGCCCTCCCTACGTCTATCGAGTCTGACTTTCTGAAGTCTGTGCCCAGAAGTCTGCCTTTTTCTCAAGTTTCCCCGATGACTCTAACACATGTCAGAGTTTGGAAGTTGATGGGCACCTGAAGATGCTGTTTATAAACCGTCTAAGTCTCCAGAAGATGGAACCAGGAGGCAGAGACCTGAGCTTGGCCTAGACTCTGCCACTAACTGACTGTGTGACCTTGAACGGGTGTCTTACCATCTCTGAGCCTCAGCTCCTCCCTTCTGCAGAGAGAGAGAATGAGGTGACTTACAAGGCCCTTGGCAGTGCCACATTTATTAAAAGCGTATTTTTTAAAAGCTGAAACAAGAACACAGGGATATTTCTAGCACATATGTGTCACCCTCACTTTTAGTATCATTGAATAAACTGCTGTGAGAGAGCGAAGTCCACCTGGCTTCCCTAGCAAATCCCATTACCCCAAAGAGAGAGAGAGAGATGACAGATATACAACAAGTCCAAACAGAAGTCGGGAATACTTACCCTAAAGGAGAACTCGAGGTTCTCGCCTCCCCAAACTTCCATTCCTGTATCATAAGACCCCAGATACTCAAAATATTTCTTACTCACAGCAAACAGCCCACCAGCCATCGTTGGAGACCTGGAAGAGGGTGAGACCCATATTTCAATGCAAGCGGCAGAAAATCGTCACAGTTAGCAGCACAGCCTTCCTGCTCTAACCTCACCCAGTGCCTGCTCTGTGCCAGGTGCTACGCTGGGCCTGGAGACACACACCTGCCCCTCGGTCCCTGTCCTGAAGAAGTCCACAGACATCTCACAGCAATTACAGAACAAGAACGCAGTATGGGAAGAAAGACATAACTGAGGTCAACCCTGGGGTCTGCAGGAACACAGGAGAGGGCAAGGGGCAGGGAGGATAGGGTGAAGTTCCCTGGAGCAGCTGAGGAGGACAAGGGGGAGGAGGTCAAGAAGAGGAAGGAAATGGTACTCAGAGATGGACCCAAGTGAGCCAAGGACTGTGGGCGAAAGAAACCCTTACCTTTCAGAAGCACAGAGAGCAAAGAGAGATGCCGAGAGAGAGAGGCCATGCTTCCCCAGGCCGCGGCCATGCCCAGAAACCCTGATGTCACAGGCAAGCACTCAGAGTGCAGCTTACAGCCTGGCCAGTGGGTGACAGAAGGCAAGTTGGGCATTCAGTGCTCTCCAGGGGCCGGTTCCTCTCCTGCTTGGGTGGTTCCCCGGCAGGACCCAGCCAGCTCTGGGCTTGCTGTCTCCCTACTAGGTTCATCTAGAAGCCGGCACTGATTTCAGAAATGGTTCCTGCCCCACGGAGAGCTGGAAAGGCAGCAGAGCACAGAGACGCAAAGGCAAGAGTGTGGAAATGGGGGCACAGAACATCAAGAGCCTGGGAGCTTACAATATCTAAGTTCCTCCAGCCACTCTCTGGGCACAGGCAAGCACTGGCCTGCCCCATGTGCCAAGCTCTGAGCCAACTGAAGAAATGGACAGCAACATTCGCTGTGGAAGGGAAGGTTCTAGACACAAAGTACTTTCCCCTGTGCTCATCCTTAAAATCTGGAAAGCAGGCAGGGTGAATATGATAAGACCTCTGTTGCTGACGAGGGAACTGAGGCCAGGAGTATATGGGAGAAGGATTGGTGACCACAGGCTGTGAGCACTTGTACGGAGGAAGGTGTGCACTGGGAGCCTCACGCCAGCACGACAGGCTGCATTCGTGACCTTGCATAAGATCCTTCCTACTCTCTGCCTCAGTTTCCAATCTGTTTAGTGAGGAGCTGGGCAGGATGCTAAGAGTTCCCATAGAACTCTTGGAGTCTTTCCTGACTCCAAACCCCACTTCTCCCGATTCTTCCACATCAACATGTCTGGAACCCACCATTTCCCTCCACCTTCTCCTCCACCATCTGGTCCAGGCCACCATTATTGCTGACCTGGAAGACCACAAAGCTTCCCACTGGGGTCCCTGCCTACAGCCCTGCTTCTTCCAGGCCCCTCACCCCTTGGCATCCTGCATAACCTTTAAAGAACGTAACATGCTCAGGTCACCTCCCGTTCTGATCTTCTCAATGGTTTCTACCTTCTCAGGGTGAAGTCCCAAGCCCTCCCCTCCATGTCCAATACCCCTCTCCTAACTGGGCCCTGCCCATCTCGGCAGCCTCTTTTCTCCACTCCACTCTGGCTAACGGTGGAGCATTTCAAGGTCAGGACTTGGTGGAAGGGTTCACAGCCCAGCTGCCAAATGTGGATGCAGACATTAAGCCACCATCTCCAGTCCGATTCACCAGCAATGACTCTAAAGTCTGAGTCCTCTACCTGTCTCCATCAATTCTAAACTTGACAAGGAAGAAGAGCAAAGGTTATGGCTTCAATTCCTCAAGAATGAGAGCAATGGATCCTTCCTTAAGACCTCTGTTCAGACCCAGACTCACCCACCGGCCAGACATGGCTGCTCCTCCCCAGGTCACCCCACTCCCAGTTCCAAGGGCCCAACAGCTAACCATCTTCTGAGAGCCTTTGCTGACATGTGAGCCAGATGCCGTGAAGCTAAAGATGAGTCACCTAGAAGCCAGCCCCTGACCTGATGACATCGATGGGGGACTGCATCCGCCGCCTCTCCCTCTCGGGGACTGTATGCCACGTGAACACCAGCCTCCAATCGAAGCCGCCGATCTGGGGCTCCCCGGCGTTCCCCAGGTACTCGAAGGTGTTCCAGTCAATCACATCAATCACTGGGCATACCACTGCCGACTCCTCTTCATGGATCCTGAAAGCACCCAGGACACCCCATCTTTCCAGGAAGTTGGGCAGCAGAAGAGTGACTGGGAGAGTTAAGCATGAGTTCTCCTCACCCATCCACTAGGCAGGAAGAAGACCCAGCTAAGAAACCCTGCATACCCCGTCCAGGGGTCTGCGCCCCATGACCATCTGTGGGGGATACTGGGCAGAGGAGGGCACTGTGACCTTAGCCTTAAAGTCTCGGGACTCCATAAACTCGAGATCCTCTCTGCATGTCAACACATGAAAGACAATCAAAGAAGCTTTCAAAACTGAGCAGATTTTCAGTTCTTGGCACTTAGGTGTTTACTCATGATAGAACATCTTAAAAATCAAGAAATAATTCTCTTTGTGAGAACAGAGATGCACCGAGACCAAAGGGTCAGCTGTGGAGTCAGAATGTAGGTTCTCATTCTGTCACTTATTTGCTGTGTGACATCAGCCAAGTCACCCTGGTTCTGCTTGAAGGCAACACACCAAAGCGTGTGTCTTCCAGGGGTGATTCTGTGTGACTGACAATTTTCTTGGCTGATTGTGCTTTCTAAGTTTTTTTTACAATAAAATACTATAATATATGGGAGCTCTGGTGGCATAGTGCCTAAGGCATTTGACTGCTAACCAGAAGGCTAGCGGTTCAAACCCACCAGCCACTCCCTGGAAGGAAGGTTGGGCAATCTACTTCTGCAGTGATACCGCCTTGGAAACCCAAGGAGAGGTCACTACAAGTCAGGTCTGACTCGATGGCAGCGTGTTTGTTTTTTTTGGTTTATTATAATATATAACAATAAGTTAACAAACACTTACATAGCACCTTCCACATGCTGGAATGTTCTAAGCACTTTACATTAAATCATCTAGTGGCCTCAACAGCTCATGGAGTGGACTCCAGTATGACCACAGAGGACTTGCCCAAAGAGTACCTGAACCCAAAGAGTACCCACCCACACCCTGGGAGTACCCGCGTCCCAGGAGCACCCTTGCCTGAGGAGTACCTGTGTCCTGGGAGGACCCATGCCCCAAGAGTACCTGACCCAAGGAGTACCTGTGCTCCGGGGGTACCCACATCTCAGCAGTACCTGTGCCCTGGGAGTACCCATGCCCCGGGAATACCCATGCCCAAGGAGTACCTGCACCCCAGGAGTGTGTGAACCCAAAGAGTACCCAAACCCAAGGAGTACCAGTGCCCCGAGAGTACCCATGCCCAAAGAGTACCCACACCCTGGGAGTACCCGTGCCCCAGGAGTACCTGTGCCCGGGGAGTACCTGTGTCCTGGGAGTACCCGAACCCCAGGAGTACCTGAACCAGGTGCTCTGGGCCCCAGAGCGTGCCCCTAGAGCACACACCATCTATGATAATGGGTTCGTTTCTCAGGCGAGTCTGTGACCCATCCTGCATGGGGGTGCACCCACCTCTCCAGCAGCGGCTCCAGCCACCCTTCGTGGCACTCACAGTGACAGTCCAGGAAAGTCAACACGTCACCCTTTGCCGCGGACGCCCCCAGCAGCCGGGCTCGCACCAGGCCTTCCCGCTTGTTAGCACGGATCAGGCGGACCCTGGGCAGGCCAGACAGCTCATTGGCCAGGCGCTCCTTCAGATGCTCTGAGGAAGGCAAGCAGAGCAACGAGGATTACCCCAACGTCTTGGCCGAGCGCCTCATCCTAAGCCGCGTCCTTCCGTAGCCTCACCTCAAACCAAAACCATACCCACTGCCACCGAGTTGCTTCCACCTCATAGCGACTCCCACTGGGTTTCCAAGGTGATAAATCTTTACAGAAGTAGATTGCCTCATCTTCCCTCCACAGAGTGGCTGGGGGTTTGAACCACCAACCTTCTGGTTAGCAGTCAAATGTCTTAGGCACTGTGCCACCAGAGCTCCTTCACCTTCTTGAAAGGAATGCTAAATACACACGAGCCTCCTTTTCTTTGAAGTCCATAAGTGGTGCACATGGATAAACGCTCAGCTATTAACTTAAAGGCTTGTTGTTGTTGTTGTTATGTGCCGTCGAGTCGGACCCGACCCATAGCGACCCCTCCTTGGGTTTCCAAGGCAGTATCACTACGGAAGTAGATTGCCCCATCTTCCTTCCGAGGAGTGGCTGGTGGGTTTGAACCGTCAGCCTTCTGGTTAGCAGTCAAGTGCCTTAGCCACTATGCTACCAGAGCTGGAGGGTCAAATTCACCCCAATGTACCTCAGAAGCCCTGCTGATGTACTTCCTGAAGACCACAGCTACTGTAAACCCCATGGAGCAGAGTCCTCCTCTGACACACAGGGTCCCCATGGGTCACAATCAGTCCCACGGCCCTGGGCTTTCTCCTTGGTTTGGCCACCTGGCACATCCTTACCTCACCCACAACCAGCGCTGGGAGCATCTGAAGGCTGTGGGACATTCATAAAATGCTCAGGAGGAAGCAAGGCAAGGATTAAGGGGCTCAGAATCACCATTTTCTCCCCCAACAAAATGCACTCAGGCTCTTAACCATGGTTTTTTTTTTTTTTAAATTGTGATTGGGGTGAAAGTTTACAGAGCAAATTCACTTTCCATACAGCAGTTCACACACACTTTGTCTCATGACATTGACCACGGTTTACCACAATGCAACAGCTCCCCTCCCCCTTCCTCCCCATAGTTACCTCTTCCCAGTGTCCATCCCTCCATGCACTCCTGCCCCCTGAGCTGTCTCCCTGTGCATAAACAGCCCTTCTTTCTCCCATGATTGTTCTCTCCAAGGAGTGTATCTACCTCAGGTACATGTTCAACTCATATGCCTGTCTTTTGCTTGGCTAGAAGCCACAGGTATATGTTCAATTCCAGACCTGAAGGGTAGTTAAGGGCCATAGTTGCAGTGGTTCCACCAGACTCTATCAGACCAGCAAATCTGGTCCCCCACTTTTTTTTTTTTTTTTCCAAATGATTTTGAGTTTTGTTCCACATGGTTCTCCCTCTCTATCCAGGATCTCCTACATAGATGCCCCCCCAAGTGGTTGACAGTGGTACCTGGGCACCAGTTCTTTTGGTCTCATAGTTGTATAGGCTGCAGATCGTATGGTATACCAGTCGCTATGGCTAATTGTTTCCACAAATCTTTGGTTTTCTTCATTCTTCTTTGCTCTGGATGAGGAGACACCTATCACTGCATCTAGATGGCTGCTTGCAAGCTTTTAAGATCCCAGTCGCTACTTGCCAAAGTAGGAGGTAGAACAATGTTTTGTGTGGTATGTTATTCCAATTTTAACCATGATTTTTATAACAGTAGTAACAATGCTAATATAATTTTTCCCAGGAGCACATTATAGTTTACCCAGTACAGGTCATTATGACAGTGGCAGCTAACATTAATGAGGGTCTGTGTACTAAGCCACCACTCATCTGTCTGTCGGACCGTGGTGGTTTGCGTGTTGCTGTAAGGCTGGAGGCTACGCCACCGGTATTTCGAATACCAGCAGGGAAACCCGTGGTGGACAGGCCTCAGCAAAGCCTCCAGACTCAGCCTGGAAAGAAGAGCCCAGTGATCCAGTTCAGAAGAAACGGCCATTCAGACGCTGTCTGATATAGCACTGGAAGGTGAGCCCCTGAGCCTGGAAGGCACCCAAAATACAACTGGGGAAGAGCTGCCTCCTCAAAGTACAATCTACCTTCACGATGTGGATGGAGTACAGCTTTCAGGACTGTATTTGCTGATGTGGCATGACTCTAAATGAGAAGAAATGGCTGCAAACATCCATCACCAATCAGAATTTAGAATGCACACGTCTGAATCTAGGAAAATTGGAATTTATCAAAAATAAATGGAATGCCTGAAGATAGACATCCTAGGCATGAAAAGGCTGAAATGGACTGGTATTGGCCATTTTGAACTGGACAATCATATGGTCTACTATGCCAGGAATGACAAACTAAAGAGCAATGTTGTTGCGTTCACTGTTAAAAAGAACATTTCCAGATCTATCTTGAAGGACAATGCTATCAGTGATAGGACAATATTCACATGCTACAAGGAAGACCAGTTAAATTTACACACCAACCACTATTGCCAAAGATGAAGAAACTGAAGATTTTTACCAACTCCTGCAGTCTAAAGTTGACCAACCATGCAATCAAGTTGTTTTGATAACTACTGGTGACTAGAATGCAAAAGTTGGAAAAAAGAAGGATCAGTCATTGGAAAATATGGCACCTAACAACAACAAAACACCGTACCAAGAGATGCACAGAGCCATCAATGGTTAAAGCTCTCAGCTGCTTACCAGAAGGCTGGCCTTCTGAACTTACCAACCAACTCTGTGGGAGAAAAGACCCAGAGATCGGCTCCCATAAAGATTACAGTCTAGGAAACCCTACAGGCAGTTCTGCTCTGTCCTACAGTGTCACTGTGAGTTGGAATTGACTCGGTGGCCCATAGCTGCAACAGCAGAGTGATCTGGATGGAGCTTACTGATCCTCCTAATTCTATGAGCCAGGCACTCCCACCACCCCATTTCACAGATGAGGGACTGGAGGCCACAGAAGCCAAGCAACTGGCCCAAGCTCACAGGGCGGGTAAAACCCAGGATCCTGGCTGAGTCCACAGGCTTTACAGCACTGCCTCCCAGAGCTTTCGTGTGCGATTTCCCATCCTTTTAAAATGAACAGAAACTCTGTCAGGAGGACTTGCATCTCCCACCTTCCAGGTGAGGAAATGAGAGGAAAGAAGGAGCCACAGCCAGGCGCCCAGCAGTCCTGACGTCTCACAGGGGCCCTGGGCTTGAGGCCGAGTCCCACCTCTCAGGTGGGTAGGTGGACGCGGCAAAGTGAGACGGTTTCCCCACGTCAGCGCAGCTCTGTCTTGAAGTCCTCAGTGAAGGGCAAATTGTGTAAAATGTCGCAGATTACGTCATAGTTTATGAAAACATTTCTCCAAATATCACTGACTCTCAAAACAACATTCACTGAGAACACTACACTGAGTGAAATGAGCCAAACACAAAAGGGCAGATACTGCTCGGTCCCACTCACATGACACATATAGAACTGAAATACGTAGAACACATAAATCATCAAGACAGAAAGAGATTAGTGGTTACCAAGGGTGGGGTGGGGGCGGGAATGGGGAGTTAAAAAAGAAAGAATTCCTGGACACATGCTCATTAAGAAGCTTGGTGACTGTGACAAAACCACTCACTAAGATCCCCAGAAAAATTATACCAAGAAGTAATGAGACAAGTAGCCTCCGCCCACCTGGCCCAGCACAGCCGTTGGGCTCTGTGGGTAGAGCATGGCTGCCACCAACAGTCCAAGCGGATGCAAGTCACTGGCTCTCCCAGAACCTGACACCGACCGCATTCAAACAAGCCTCAGTCCAAATGATGCCACTCCAGCAGGCACATATAAGGAGCTCCGGTGGCCTAGTAGGTAAGACATTTGGCTGATAACCAGAAGGTCAGTGGTTCAAATCCACCAGCAATCTATGTCCATAAAGATTTACAGCCTTGGAAACCTAATGGGGATCACTATGAGTTGGGATCAACACAATGACAGTGGGTTGTTTTTTTTTTCAGTAGGCACCAGGTGGCCCTGGTGGTGCAATTGTTAAGTGCCTGACTGCTAGCTGAAAGGTCAGAGGTTCAAACCCACCAGCCACTGCATGGGAGGAAAGACCTAGCAATCTGCCCCCATGAAGATATAGGCTAGGAAACAGCATATACATCCACAACATCAACACACACACACACACACACACACACACCCATGAAGATTATAGGCTAGGAAACCCTATGGGGCAGTTCCACTCTGTCATATGGAGTAGCTATGACTTGGAGTTGACTCAACAGCATACGCATCCACAACACCAACACACACACACACACACACACACACACACACACCCATTGGCTAATTCTGCTCCATCCCAAACATAACTGCAAATAAGTCGACAGCAGGAGTAAGGGGGGTGACTTTTCAAACTGAGTTCATCTGCTGGGGTGTCCAGTGAACACACACTAACACACGTGTAGCCCTGGAGCATTGCGGATTCTGTTCACATGGATCTTGTCTGCCTGAACTGCCTTCCACCTGTGCGAGGGGCTGACACTCCTTGACTGAGCTCACGTTGACACTGCAGAAAGGGAGGAGGTGGCAGGCCAGAACTTCTCAACCCCATTACAGGTGAGGAGGCATCTGCCTGCTTCTACACGCTACCATAATGAAGGGCGCTCCGCCCACAGCACGTCACACTCAGGAGCGAATCGGAAGGAGTTCACGCTGCATTTCAGCCTGTGATGAGCTATTAAATCCCTACAGAAAAAATTAATGATTTTCCACGTTTCTGAATAAACACATTCATGAAAAGTGCTTGCACTTTGTAACTGCGTGTTTAGTGAGACAGATGCTAACACTGAGGGAGAGCCAGCTGCGCGCCAGGCACAGTGGACCCAACCCGTTGCCGCCTTCCTGCATCTCACCCTCATGACGGTTCCACAAGGCAGCCATCAGCTAACGGGGCTGCAGCCAAGGTGCAGACTGCCTAACCCACTTACTCAAGGCTGGCCAACCGGTGAGTGTTGACGCTGGGGTCCAAGCCCTCACCGTGTGATCTAGAACCAGTGCTTCTACCCCCTACTTTAAACTGTGTCTACACAGACACACCTCAACTGTGAAAAAAGAATAAAAGGAGCCTTAGGTCACACCTACTGCGTGCTGGCTGCCGTCCTGCGTCCTGCGTGCTGTCCTTTGCATAATCTCATTTACTCCTCAACACAACTCTCCAAGAGGTGGGAGCCATTTGACAGGCAAGAAAACATAACAGAAGAGAAACCACTATGGGTTTATAGCAAAGCTCTTCTCAGACCAGGTGGCCTGACCCCAAAACGCAGTGCCCACTAGGCGACACCCAGCATCAAACTCCAACTGGAAAAGACCACTGATGATCCCCTCCAGGCCACTCTCCCCACAATGTTGAGCTGAGCACATGGCATCCAGGACAAAGGCTACATTTCCCAGCCTCTCTTGCAGCTAGGGTGACCCTGCGACCAAGTTATGTTCAAACGGATGTGCAGGAACTCCCAGACAGTGCCCTGAAACAGAAACTCTGCTGCTTCACACCCCTTCCACCAACCTGGGTGAGCAGCTGGTGGGAAATCAAGTTGCACCACGCAGACCCAGGCAGCACACCATCCTAGAGGAGGCAGAGCTGCAAGGCAGAAGGAGCTGAGGTCCCCTAAGACCACAGAGCACCCCAGCTGTCTAGACCACTTATACCAGATTCATGACGTGTGTGACAATCACCTTCTACCTTGTTCAAACCACTGTTACTCTGAGTCTCTGTGAAGACAGCCAAACGCATACACTAAAGCGAGTGTTGGTGAGTGGATCCGGACTCACGGGGACCCCATGTGAGGCAGGGTAGACCTGTCCTCCACAGGGTCTTCAATGGCTGGTTTTTCAGAAGCAGAACGCCAGGCCCTTCTGCTGAGGTGTCCAGGTTGACTTGAACCTCCAATCTTTCAATTAGCATCGAGTGCACTAACCGTTTGCCCCACCCAGGAATTCCACACAACAACTGATGCACATACACACAGGGCTTTGCGGTCAGAGCAGGCACAGGGCTGAGATGGCAGACGCAGTAAGCAGGAGCTCCTACCCTTCTGGGTGGCCCAGGGAGAGTAACTGGGTCGCAAACAAGCTCTAGTGGGTAAGCCTCAGCTCCACCTGGGGTTACAGCCTAGACGCGTTCCCGCAGGTAAGCACAGACACCGCCAAGAGCCAGTCGCCCACGATTTACTGGGTCATTTCCTACTACCCACTGCCACCACTAATGCCAGCCTAAGCTGTGGCCACCACAGTGGCCCTTCACGCCTCACCCTGCTGCTATCCTTGCCTAGCCCCCTCCCCTAACAGGCCATTCTCCACACAGCAGGCAAAGTGACCCCTCAGACTGGCATAGGTCAGCCTGCTCCCACCCCTAGATGTCCCCTGACAGCCCTTGTCAGATTCACATTCAAGCCTAAGTCCCTATCGTGGCCTCCAAGGCCCTACCTGAGTTGCCCCACCTACGCTGCAGCTTCATCTCCTCCATCATTGCCCACCTGGTCCTCTCTGCCCTGAGAATGCCACACTCGGTCTGCCTCCCGGCTTCTGCTCCCTGCTCCCTGCTCCCTGCTCCCTGGTCGGGGTGGCTCTCCCAAGGTCTTCATTTGGCTGCCTCCTTCACCACGTCTAGTTTTAGCTTAAATTCACCTGTTTTGAGAGGCCTTTCTGACCTTCAAGGAGCTCTGGTGGTGCAGCGGTTCAGGCATTTGACTGCTAACCAAAAAGTCAGTGGTTCAAACCCACCAGTCACTTCATGGAAAAAAAGATAAGGCAGTCTGTTTCCATAATGATTTATAGCCTTAGAAACCTAGTGAGGGTCGCTATGAGTCAGAATCAACTTGATGGCAGTGAGTTTGGTATTTTTTTTCTCCCTTTCTCCCCTGCTCTCCTTTTGCTCACACAGCACTTTCTACTTGCTGAAATACAATTCAATATGATCCGGCCAGAAGCCCACAGTCTTCCTCATACCTCACTCCACACCCCTCAGCCAGGCAGTCTCCAGACCCCGTGGATGCCACCTCTGGAACAGCCCTCCAGCCTAACTCTCTGGCCCCACTCCTCTACCACCACCTGACTCCAAGCCCACCTCCCACTTGGGCCACCATGACAGCCTCCTGCTTCCCCACCAAGCTCCCTATTCTCCATACTCCAACCCAGGGTGTCCTTCTAAGGGCCAAAGTACTCTCTTGTTTAAAATTGCTCCTTGGCTCTTCCTGCCCTTACAAGAAAGTCCAAGACATGCTACTGTCAAAAACTGCCCTCTTCTGCACCCATCCAACCTCATCTTCCCGACTCCCTGGAAGCAGCTGACATTCCATCCTTCTTCAAGCACTTGCAGATCCAAATAACCCACGCAACTCTGTACCCCCAAGGCTTTCCACATTTGGTACCCTCCATCCGAGACGCCCTCCTCAACCTTTCCTGCCCAGCAAATTCCCCAACCTTTGGATGAAGGCCAACCATCACCTCCTCTGGGAAGTCTTCCCGACCACTAAGCAGAGTCAGTCCTTCTCCTGTTTCTCACAGCATCATGTGGTCGACCCTTAGTTATCACATCTATGTCCCCCACAGGCTCTGAGCACCCCGAGAACAGGGGCTGGGTCTCCTTGTCATCATGTGAAGCACACGGAGAAACAGGAAGCCCATCTTCTACCTGGCCTCTTCTACCCTGTGTCACCCTCCCACCCTCCAGCCTTAGCCACCAAGGGAAGGGCTCTTCTGGGAGCCCATGTTGGGGACTTACCTCTATCACTGTAGTCATCGACAAGGATGACTTCCTCCAGAAGTATGTCTGGTGATGTCTCCAGGACACTGTAAACTGTGCGAAGGAGAGTTGACCAGGCTTCATTATAAAAAGCTATGACCACGGATGTTCTCGGCAAATTATTGTAATCATACTTCTTCTCCATGCACCTGCAAATACAACCCAACTTCAGAAATCCAGAACCCATTGCTGACCACATGCACCAGGCCCAGGCTGGCGCTGGGGATGGAGTGAGGGCAGTGGCAGGGGCTGTGGTCTTGAGGCCATGCCTGGGGACCTGGAAATAACCTGCCAGAGGATCTTCCTGAGCCCCTCCATGTTCCACCTAGAGCACCAGCAGACTCTAAGGTCCTAGCCTGACATCCAACAAACTTCACAGTGGGATAATGTTTTTAAGCTCCACAACCAATTCTGAACACTATACAACCAGCAGAATCAGGAGGGAGGGAGGTGTCACTGTTTCTTCAAGAGCTCTTCTACCTATGCAGCCCCTTCCAACCCCACTGCCAAGCCTTCGTTCCTTCGGCCTGGGATGCTCTTCCTTCCCTTCTCTACTTGGCCAACTCCTGCCTTCTTTCAGGAACAACTCAACCCGACTGTCCTCTGGGAAAGCTCCCTGGGTGCCCCCAAGTTAGACAGGTGGGTGCTCTTCAGAGCTCCTCCAGAGCCTTGTCCATGCCACACCTCTCACAGTGTACGTCACACACAGCACTCCAGTGACTTCACGTCCCACTGCGTCTCTCTCAACCTTCTCCCCAGCATCCAACAGTGTCTACACCTAACAGAGGTGGTGTGCTGAATGAATGAACTGGAATCAAGGTGGGAATGTATGAACACTCCCAGGAGGATGCTGCAGAGGACACTGACTAACTCCTCAATCTCCAAGACACCTCTGCTCCTGTGGCAGCCACGGGTGGGGTGGGATGACCCCACCTAGCTCCCGGATGGGTCCACTCCATTTAGTAGGGTTTTCTGTTACACTGCACCAAAAGTCCCTGGGTTGACATAGAGGCCTATCCTCAGAGGGACCAACGACAAACTCACAAGTGTCATGGGACTTGACTGAGGGCTGGTGCCTAGAAACCATCAGCAGGTCTCAGTTCTAGAAGTGGCTGACAGCAAGATGGCAGGGGGAGGGGAGCAGGAACCCATGAGGGACACCAAGAGGACACCAGAAGGATCGGGGTTTGAATGCTGCTGGGCTGGCCAATGGCTGGACCAAGGGATCAGCTAGACACATGAGAAAAGAACAAAGGTTAAAGACCAACCAAGGTATCAAGGCTGCTAAGGCAAGGTAAAAAGACAGGACTAGGGACGGAGAAACCAAGTAGGAAGAGGGTGAAACCGACTATTCATTGCTGACTGTGCCCCTGGGCCCTTGACTCAATAGTCAGTCACCAAATGCCTTTGATTCTTGTTATTCACGGCTCACTCACTCACTGCCATCAAGTCGGATCTGCCTCATAGGGACCCCTCCCTGGGTTTCCGAGGTGATATCTCTATGGAAGTAGATTGCCCAGTTTTCCTTCTAAGGAGTGGCTCATGGGTTTGAACTGCCAGCCTTCTTGTTAGCAGTTAAATGCCTTAGGCACTGCGCCACCAGAGCTCACTATTCATTGCAGTTATGTTCTACACATCTCCCCAAACACTGAATTAGCAAATGCTGAGCTTATCTGAAACCCTGAATTGGAACCCTGAAATGTAGATGTAGAATGCTGTGAGCTTCTGGTCACAACACTTTCGTTAACCAATCAATACATAACCTTGTTTTATGTGTGTTTCTGCTTAAAGACACCTTATTTAATATATACTGTTGATTAGCTGACACTGAACTCATGGCCAACAGCACTGTAACTCATGCCTGAATGAAACTTATCTAACACACAAATTTTCTCCATAAGGCATGTAAACTGCCTTCTAATACTTAGGAACACGAACCCATCACCATTGATTCCTACTCATAATGACCCCATAAGACAGAGCAGAACTACCCCATAGGGTTTCCAAGGCTGGAAAGTTCCACAGGAGCGGACTGCCCTATCTTCCTCCCATGAAGCAGCCGGTGGGTTTGAATGGCTGAGCTTTCAGTTAGCATCTAAGCGCTTTAATCACTGCACCATCAGGCCTCCTCTTAGGAACACTAGAAATTTTATTATTTTTACTTTTTTAACTTTCTTTTGTGACTTGGTAAAAGTTTGCAGAGCAAATTCATTTTCCATTCAACAGTTCCTACACGTTTTATTTAACAGCACTGATTGCAATCTCCCAATGTAATTCTCTTTTCACTCCATTCTGTGCTTATCTTTTCCCTGCGTCCACCTTTCTTATGGATTCCTGCCTTCTAAGCTTTTTCCCTATACAAATGCTGCCTTTTTGACCTTCCACAGTTGACTGTTCTAAGGCCTACACCTGCCTAGTGCAACTGTTCAGCTCTTCAGTCTGTTGTTTGCCTGAAGTTAAACCACAGGAATGAATTCAACTCCAGGCCTGAAGGGTGACTAGAGGCCATACATAGTCTCAGGGGTTTCACCAGTCTCTATCTGACTAGTAAGCCCAGTCTCTCCTATGAGTGCAAGCTTTGTTCTATGCCAAATCTCCAATTTTGATCCCTTTCCAAGTGGTTAACAGTAGTAGCCGGCACCACCAAGTTCTTCTGATGGTGTCAGGATCATGTAGGCTCAAGTTCCCATGGTCCACTAGTCCCCTGGACTAGTTGTTTCCCTGTACCTTTGATTTTCTTCACTCTTTGCTCCAGACAAGGAGAGACCCATCTAGAGCTGCATCTTAGATGGCTGCTTGCAAGCTTTTAAGACCCTAGTCACTGTTCACCAAAGAAAGATGTCGAACAATGTTTTTGCATACTATGTTATAACCCTGGACATTTTAAAGATCAAAATCACCAACAACAATTGGCATAACATACTACACAAAACATTGTTCCACCTCCTACCTTGGCAAGTAGCGACTGGGATCTTAAAAGCTAGCAAGCTGCCATCTAGATGCAACGATGGGTCTCTCCTCATCCAGAACAAAGAAGAATAAAGAAAACCAAAATTCATGGAAACAATTAGTCCTAGCGACTGGTACACCATCCGATATGCAGCCTATACGACTATGAGACCAGAAGAACTAGATGGTGCCCGGCTACCACTGTCATCCACTTGAAAGGGGATCTATGTAGGAGATCCTTGATAGAGAGGGAGAACAATGTGGAACAAAACTCAAAATCATTGGAGGAAAAAAAGGGGGGGGACCAGGTTTGCTGGTCCGATAGAGCCAGATGGAACCACTGAAGACTATGGCCCCTACCTGCCCTTCGGGTCTGGAATCGAACCCACACCTGCGGTTTCCAGCCAAACAAAAGACAGGCATATGAGTTGAGCATTTACCTCAAGTAGATACACTCCTTGGAGAGAACAATCATGGGAGAAAGAATGGCTGCTTATGCACAGGGAGACAGCTCAGGGGACAGGAGCCCATGGAGGGATGGACACTGGGAAGAGGTAACTGTGGGGAGGAGGGGGGGAAGGGAGCTGTTTCATTGTGGTAAACTATGGTCAATGTCATGGGACAAAGTGTATATGAACTGCTGTATGGAAAGTGAATTTGCTCTGTAAATCTTCACCCAAATCACAATAAAATAAAAATTTTTTAAAAATCACCAACAAAAAGCACAAAAATGAGAAAAACATACCTAGACTGTGAAAAGGATACCTGTTTACAGTCTGAGAGCTAAAAGAAGGCCGTTCACTGTCTGGTTGACCTTAGCTGGGACAAGTCACCAGGTGATCCAATTTTTTCACCACCCTGCATACATCTGCATGACCATAAGCACTGTAAGCACTGCTTTGGGGCTTGCGCATCAAGTTCAGGGAGCTGGCACATTTACAACCACAGGACCTGTGACTGAGGAAGGTGACTGTAGTTCCTGATCATCTGCTACGGGCCCTGCTCCCACGGAGCTCCCGCTCTGGAGGAGGTGAGGTAAGAGGAAGAGTGGAGGGAATCATCAAGTAAACAAACACATCAGTAATCATTTCAGAAAGTACTGGGGCTATGAGAAAGCAAAGGGGGTGCTGAAAGGTGCACAACTCTGGAGGGGACGGGACAGAGGGCAGGGAGCAACCTCAGGGCAGGTGATCAGGGAGGTCCTCTCTGAGGAGGTGATGTTTAGGGTAAGACCAGGGAATGATGAAGGATCCAGCCACAAAAAGCTGAAGAGCCTGTTTCGTGACAACCTTATTTCTCTGGATTCTTAAAAGTTTTATTAGGAAAAATGTCAAACATACAAAAAAAAGTTGAGTGAAAACTAGAAGGGGACACTCCTGTGAGCCCTTCACTCAGCTTCAACAAGTCTAAATACACAGTCTGTCTCGATTAATCTATGTCTTCATTCACACTCCAATCCGAGATTGTTGTTACGTGCTATCAAGTTGGACCCGACTCATAGCGATTCCTCCTTGGGTTTCTGAGGCAGTATCAGTACGGAAGTAGATTGCCCCATCTTCCTTCCGAGGAGTGGCTGGTGGAATTGAACCGCCAGCCTTCTGGTTAGCAGTCAAGTGCCTTAAGCACTACGCTACCAGAGCGCCTTTCATTTTTAGCAAACCTCGTGTATCATACCCTCTGTAGATGTGGTTCTGGCCGTGTGGCCTGCCTTCCATTTCTACTGCTCTGCTAGGCCCAGTCTCTTCAGCCTCTCCATAACTCTCTGAGCTACTCAACAGCCCTTCTCATTGACTCCCTCTCGGCCTCAATCAGCCAGGCTGTTTCTGTTGCCTGCGCCTGACAGTTCTGACCAAAATGCGTCCCAGCATCTTCTCCCCTCCCCCATCCAGCAGCCACAGGGGTCATTTACAAAGCAGGTGTGACCATGGCACCCTCTTCTTCAAATCCTTTGTTTAAATGGCTTCCCATTTTACATGAGACACATGAAGACCCAAGCCTCCGGTCCTGGTTTATAAGGACCTAGTCCCTGTCCACATCTCCAATCTCATCTAGTGCACTGGTTTTAAACTATATCCTGAAACTCTTTGACACCCTTCCCTTCAAAAAAAAACCAAACCAAACTCACTGCCACTGAGTCAATGGCAACTCATAGCAACCCCTCCTTGGGTTTCCAAGGCGGTATCACCACAGAAGTAGATTG